TTTAACTTAATGAATCTTGTTTTGTCTTTGTTTGTGTTGTTAGGAGTATGCAGATATTCCAAGTATTGTGTTAGCCTCATGTCTCATGAATGAAATATTCTAAGAATATTAAAATTAAGCCAAGACAGATAAAGAAAAATAAAAATGTAACAATTTATAAATGATTCATTCTGGAGCATATGACCCCGCCTATCTCCCAAGACAAAATTCACTGATGTATTTGTTGTCACTGATGTTTGAATGTAGTTTGAAGTAAAAGAAAAGGACTTAGTGCTCCACCTTTTTTAATTAAAATGAAATAAACTTTTATATTTAAGCAAAATAAGTTAAAATAAGTCTACCAGTGATTTGCTCCTTGCTATTTTATATCAGAATAGAAACACTTTAAGGATTTTAACTTGTATATTTCATGAAAGAAAATTACTAGAACAATTAACCATCTTGTTTTAATTTAAAACTTGCAATTATAATTTTTGAAGTGAAAACTTCTTCAGCTATGTTGAGGGATTTTTGGTAGGGGAAAACTTATAGGTTCGCGTCACCGATGACCTCGACATGCTCGTGACTATAGCAGCGTACTATAGCAGCTTGTGTACATGTTTACGCATATATACACTAATACATTATATATACTCCATTGTATCATATTATGTATGTTTCACTTTTTGGATGGGTAAAATCTAGTGATTTCGCGTCACAGACATGCTGTAATAGCAGTAAGTGAATGATCACTTGAAAAGTATATTTTGTGTATACTGTTGCATTGTTTTGTGTTTTCTATAATTATTATTTGAATTGATTAACTGTAGAATCACTGTGCAGTACAATAATGAGTACTTAATATACTCATATGTTTTTGTAGAAAAATATATGATAAAAACAAAGTATTTATTGTTGAATATTTCCAAGCTTGTATTAATATTTACGATGAAAAAAGTTTTCACTTCTGACGTGCAGTCCTACGAATGAGTTTTTTTTTTCTTTATTTAGGGAACCACTTTTAGAAGCGGTCAAGCCGCTGCAAAAATTATTTAGTCTGCTATACTTCCACAGCTGTTTGGAAGATAATAAAAACATTCATTTTTTTACACAAATTCATCTAAAAAAGACAATAAATTTGAATTGGTATAACATTAAACATTATGTTAATCGGTTTATCAACAATTGCCCAAATGTCTCATAAAACGGCGACTCTTAAAAACAATATTTTGAGAATTATGATATATTTAAAAGGATGAGAATGTGTTAATGTTTTGTTGTGTTGGTTTTTACGGAGTTCAGTATTATTAGCATTATCTAAATAAACACATTTCTAATAATGTATTAAAACATATTAATTATTATTATTACTAGAATTCGACTGAATGCTTTTTTAAGTTTGTTATTGCCTTATTCTTCAGAACTGACTGACATGAACACAACTGTTTCTGCATAAGTTATTTTATTCAAAACATTTTCAAAAAACCGAGGAAGAAGAGAGTCAAATCAGTAAAACTGGACGTCTACAGTCGAAATCTAGTCATACTATACTGCAGGCGGCTTACACACAATAAACAGTTAGGAAAAATTATTGGCGAGAACTCCACATACGCGAAACGTTTTGCATGAACTTAAAACAAATACTACAAATTAATATAAGGCAATAGTAACCTTGTCCCAAAACACTTTTTGCATCACTTTCATGCTCAGATAAACGAGTTACAAAGTTGATATATTTATATTTAAATTAATTTGTTATTTAAACCAACAATAATTAAACCATTTGAAAGTAAAAAATAAAATTCTATACACGCTAATATCTAGCGTAAATAAGCAAAATGTATTGCATAGGTACAATTTCCTTTCAAAATGTGAATTAAATTGCCACTTGTTAATTTAACTCACCATATCTGGAAATGCATAGTCAGGACAGTAAGTTACATCATAGTAAGGACTTGATCAACACATCCAAAATAATAATGTTATATGAGCCGGAACGAATTTAAAAAGCCTTCCAAAGGTTTAAATAATAATGTCTACACTCTACTTACATGTCATGGCACATTAATTTAGCCAATTAAAATTATTGCTCATGCAATTAAATTTTCAAGTGCAAATAGCCTAAACTTACTGAAAAATCACCTCTAGGCATTTTCAAACTCAGCAAACAAAGCTCTGAAATACTAATCACTTACTTTCTTACTTTCAGCCAACCACAGAGGCAGAAATAACTAAAAAATGAAAAAAAGAATATAAAAAAATAAAAATGGTTGAAAGAAGCACAAAAACGATGGATAAGATGCAATTGTGCTATAAAATAAGCTTATTATTCCTGCTCATATAAAATATTACGATAAAATGCTAGATTTTAGCGTGTGCGATATATTTAACAGCTAACATTTACTATTCTTCAAGCCTTATAATATAACTTCGTTATGTATTTCAAGAGAGTCACAACAAAGGAGCCTGTTCATAATAGAACACATTTTAGAATAGTTTAATTAATGAAGACTCTTGAAATTCACCATACAAGCAAAAACCAACAGATGTTATCAACTAAATGATTCTGAATATTGTTTTAAAAAGCCTACAAAGACAAACCTCAGTTCCTTCGCCCTGTATAGCATAACAGAATAACAAATTAATGTGTAAACTTAAAATTCGCATATAAAGTTTATATACTTCATTACATAAGTTAAATATAAATATTTAAAATGCTAAATTATTTTTAAGAATAAATAAGTACAAATAGTTAAGAAAAGCATGTTAATAAAAAGAATAAAGATCACATAGTCAAAGAAGGAAAAGGAAAGCTATATGAAATAAAATCATTGAAACATCTTTAAATTATTTTACTTACTTCTTCCCCATTTGAGGCTTCCGATGTCTTCTCAGGGTAAACTCCAGCTCTAAGGAAGGATGCTTTCCACGAATCAACGTCATCTTGTGTCTCGCACGACAACTCTAACTGCTTGTAATCCTATGACAGAATATATATTATTGTGAACAAAACAGAGAAATATGTAACGAAATTGAGTTAGTAGATTTATATATTAATTAAAGTTTTAATTGTGATAAAAATCAGCTTCCTAGGTAGATTCTTAAAATTAACAGTGGTTACTGAAGTTAAAATGAACTCACTAAAAATATACTCAAATTTTATAATTACTTTGTAAACATTTCTGCCCTCAGGATTGAAGAGTGCGAACATATGCCTGCGCGACATAAAGCCTTGCTCCAGATCGCGTAACTTGAGTCCATCGAGAGGCAGCATGTATTTCTTCTCGCGCTCCTCCTCGTCCTTATACCACGAGATGCTTTCAGACGTCAGCACAAACCAGTAGTCACGCGAACCACCTTAATAAAGTATTTTGGTATGTTCAAAATATATTATCTAATTATATCAATTAATGATATCAATGTAATATTAATGTCATAACATTATAAATCTTTTGGGAGATTACGACATATCTTCTAGTCACGTATACCTCAAAACTTGAAAACAAGATTGTACAGCCAGTGTGTGATGTCACTGATCACATATGAATGTGAAACTTGGTCCTTCTCTGCTGGCCGTATGAGGAACGTCAAAGTCGCTCAGTGAGCTATGAAGAGGGATATACTCGGAGTTTCTCTGCATGCTAGACTTGAAATGAGGATATAACCATTAGCAACAGAGCAACCGACATAACCTAACGGATAAGTAAGCTGAAGTGGTAATGTGCCGACGAAGAACCGACAACCGATGGGGAAGAAAGGTTCACGAATGGCAGCCTGGTACCGGTAGCGAAGCGTATTCTGGCCCCCCACTAAATGGAGTGACAGCCTGGATAGAGATGCAGAAGATGACACGAGAAAGAAAAGAATAAGGTATTATTTTTTTATAATATTGCGATATGCTTTTAAGAGTTAAATATTATACTGCCACTGGTGAATCTGAATAAACAAATAATTAGATAAGTAACCTTTAATGCAGCCCTATAGTTCGATGCGAAGGTACTTGTCAAAGCCAATAAAAATTTTAAATAAATGTCATCAATCCTGTATAAAATGTTCTACCAAAAGAGTAAGGTGGAACTGCCGCAAAGCAAATACAAAGTAATTTTTAATAACCTTTTTTACAACGTAATAATCAATAGTGGGCTAAAGAGGCGGATTGTTAGCATTGGATGTGGTAGTTTATTTTTTTTTAATATAGAAAAGAGGGCAAAAGATCATGCTGCTCACGTGATGTTAAGTTTCGACCGACCGCCTACGAGTAACTGCAATACCAGAGGAATTGCAGATACGTAGACGGCCTTTTAAAAAGATACAGAGGCGGATTGTTTGCATTGGATGTGGTAGTTTATTTTTTTTATAGAAAAGAGAGCATAAGATTTTGCTGCTCACCTGATGGTAAGTTTCGACCGACCGCCTACGAGCAACTGCAACACCAGAGGAATTGCAGATACGTAGGCGGCCTTTTAAAAAGGTATAAGCTCGTTTCTTGAATGTGCTTAACTTGTATCGGTCCGAAAAAATCACCGGTGGTAAACAATTCCACAAACAAGTTGTGCGAGGAAGACTCCTAGTAAATCGCACAGTAGTGGACCGCCAAGCATCAAGATGATGTAAATGGTAGGTTAGACATTAAGTTCCAATTAGCATTTGCCTCTATTCTATGGCAAATTTTAATTTAATATGTACAGACAGTAAAACTGATTTGGTGTTACAATGAAATAAAGTAGTAAATTTACCTTTCATAATTCCGAGATTGTGTATGCACATGAACCCCTTTCTTATGACTTGGTTGCCAAGTGTGCGGTGTCCAGATTTTGCAGCACTTTCAGACTGATTCTGAGCGCTAGTTACAAAAAATGACTGTAATTTAAACTTAAATAACAATAAAATTTTAAATTTATAAAACTATAAATAAGTGAAAAGATAGAGAACGTAAAATGAAAAACTGGCTTAATATGAGTCTTTGTGCTACTTACAATCATCAAAAATAAATTAACAATTATTATTATACTTTTAAAATTAATGCCTGTTTTTAAGTCAATAAACTAATCTAAAATTAAGGCACATTAGAATGAGGCGCATTAAAAAGATTAAAATATAAATGCCACTGTTAACTATATATCACAAACACATTTTTTTTAATTAAATAATCGGTGATAAAATAGGTATCCCATTAGTCAAGTTATGTTTAAAGGTACTTTATTTCTCATTAAAGACAAAGTCGCTTACATGACAAAAAGACAAAAATAAAAAAATATGATCCACAAAAAAACGGACAAATTAATAATTTACATAAGATAAGTTTACACACACTAAGTACATAAGGGAAAAATATAATAGCATCTAAAGTCAAACTTAAGGTCTATACTCCATACAGTATTTGTATTTGTTGATAGAGACACATTTTTCTAGCATTATCTAATGATGTACTGAACTAAAACGACTAGACATGAGACATGCAAGTAGTTAATGGTACAGATGACTCAGGACGATGGTTATATTATTCCTTCTATTGGCATGAGTAGTAAGTACAACTTGAACCTGCACAGTAGTTGATTTACGAGGACGGTGAACATTTCTTCACGCGATCCAACGATCGTCATCATCTACAGGATACTCAGTGGATGTGTCATTTGTTTCAGATTTGCTAGGAAGTGCACATGATAAGACTTAACCCTATTTATTTCAGCTACGTGCTTAAAATCCTTGCTTCTATCTAAGTCGCTTCCCATTATGTTTCTTTTAACTCGTTCACTCGCGTCTCCGCCAAGTGGACGTTTTAATATACTTATTTATCGCGTTTAATTAGTGAAATTCAAACAAAATCTTATTTTTTAGACTGTTACATAAACCTTAGATTTGAAGCTAGGTTACTTACTATAAACAAACAAGTGTAATTTATTTAAACTATAAACACGCTCAGAGATGGGAATAATTTAAAAGCGACAGAGCGGGAAGCGACGTAGAGGGAATATGTGGTAGAACCACGCTACAATGATTACGGCTACAGTATGAATAGGTCAAAAGGAAGGATCACTCTCGCCCAGATTACCAGCGTAAATTAACAGCATTAATAGTGCTGTCGTCTTTTATGAATGACGAGAATCGGAGACCCTTTCAATAGTAAGAAGCATTCAAGCGAAGTACTTGATCTTGACCAAGAATCACAACGCATTTGCCTTTTGATTTTTGGTCAAGATTGACTTAGTTTTCTATGGGCCGTAGCATCCACTTACCAATTAGGTGGGCTGTGTGCTCGTTTGTCGCCTTTACTTCTATAAAAAAAAAAACGAATAATTGCAATATGAGTTTTTGTCGCCTGTGTTTATTTATGTTTTTAGTAGTGTTGGGCGATGATGATGATGATGGTGATGGTGGTAGTGGTGGTGGTGGTGCTTGCGTACGTACTTGGCGAAGCCGATGAAGTCCTCGTGGTTGGTGTTCATGTAGGCGAGTTCACAGTCGACCAGCAGCACGAGCTGGTCCTTGCACTGCTGCTCGCGCGAGCGCACGTGCGACATGATGATGCGCTCCGTCTCCTCGCGCAGCCGCGGGTAGCGCGACATCTGTACATAACCGTCACCTTCAGTTCCACACATTACACTTTTTTTACGTGGTAGAGCCATACTGCAGATATATTATTGTTATAGCACGAATGGGTCGGCTCGACCGGAGAAGTACCACGCTTTCACAGAATACCAACGTGAAAAGCAGCTTAATTTTGCTATGATTTGTAGGGTGAGTGTAAAGAACCGGAGACCCTTTTTACTGGAAAACGAGGCATTCCATCTTAATCCTCAGGGGTGAAGTGCTCGTTTGTCACCCTTACACTAAAAAAAAAACTGAAGTGACAAACGGAACTTGTAGTCCACCTGATGTAAACCGCTACTAAAGTCCATGAACACTTGTGGCCAACTACAAACAAGGAAGGCTACCGATGCGTAATCACTTTTGCGACCTACGATGGAATACCTCACAGCCTGCAATTGGGTATTACACTCATTTTCAAATAGGGTCCACTATTTATATATTTTTTTTAAAACTTAAGACTAAAAAAATTGTGCCATAAAAATTACTTATAATTTATAACGTGAAAACGCTAGCCGCCATGCTGTTCAGCTCGTGACGTCACTGCTTTAGTAAATAAAACGATTTTGCAAAGGAATGAGATATTACGTATTTTAGAAAGTTTAATAATGAGTTATCATCTTTATCATTGGTGTGTTGTGTCTCAACGCAAAAATACGAGCATAAGAACGCCGGGGAAGTTATGGATTCAAAAAAAATATTATTAAAATTGAAATATAAAATTTATAATGCATTTTTATGAACAGAAATCCACATTTCTCGTTTGCTTTTTACAAAACCTATCATAAATATGTATTTTTGGAACGAAGTTTCTTATCGGACGGTACGAATTAGGCGGATGAAGGCTAGGCGAGAATAGTGTAAGATTTTTCCGTCACGACCCCTTCTGACTTAGCGTAGACGGTCTTGGCTGCTATAAGGAAGTGAGATGGAATAATATCCATCTCCCTCGCACTTTTTCTTATCTTGCCATGAAAGAAGTATTATTTTATTTTAAATGACACTTCATTTTATTTAATAGACGTTAGTAATTCATTTATTTGTATTTGTTAATCAATAATATAATACGTTTATCAACAATAATATACTATGAAAGGAACTTCGTTCCAACCGAGTGTTCCACGACATTCACGCATGTTTTTTTGATTTTTTTTTTACATGGTGTAAAATACCCTATTATACCAGGTGTACTCTATACTGCTATTTGGTGGCAAAAATAGGTAAGAGTTCTTCTACCACCTCACAAGTCCGTTCATTCATTCATTACAGTTTATCAAAAGTTCACTGAATGAACATAGGCTTCTCCGTAGATTACCTCATAGAGGCCCATTTGCCATTGGGGTTGGTAAATGCAGTTTTTATTATTTTGCGATGTTATCAGGAAGCTGCCCATCAAATATGTTTCATTTCCCTTAGTCGCTAATTGGAAATTTTGCAACTGACAATTGAGCATCATGTGCGCTTGTTAAAAAGTCCTCTATATTTTTTAGATAAAAAATGCAACAATCATGGTATATTTTTAAATACCACGATTAATCTGATGAATTTTTCGTGTTTATTAGAAGAAAATAATGCCACATTACATTTTCCTAATACACTACAAATAATATGGATATATTTAAATGTGATCGAATATTTTTTGTAGCATTAATGAACAACCGGAATCGATAAAAAATTGTTTTTACAGAGTTCGGTTGTTCATTATCACTATCTGTAACCACTAATGACAAAAATCATAAATCGCAACTGTCAGATTTACAAAGGATTCTTACCCGTTCAGTGCACATACGGACAACATTGGAAAGCTCTTGAACAACTAGATCGACGCATTTCAAGCAGGGTTCTTTTAGTCGCGCGATCTGCTTCTTTACTATAGCCTCGAACGCCATATCAGGAGTGAACAAGCCCACCTACAATACATATAGGATTTACGATTAGAAAGAAAAAAGCTTTTTCATCACAACACACAACATACATTAGAAAATAAGAGGACTAGAACAACAATAGCATGTTTATACACAACATACGGCAGACATTGTACTGCCCTTCGGTGACGAGATGAATTTTTTTCGGAATTTACTTCGAACTTATTAAAATTTATTAATAACTCGACTACAGCGCCAACTATCAGATCCAGATTTTGTGCTTTTCCTTTTTAACACCAAACTGTGAATACAAGTTATTTGGGCCATAATTATAGAACATTATGTTATTAACGTCAGTACAGCGACTTATTTCTTGCAAAGCTATGACCCAGTCATTGTTGAGTAGTAGCACAATCAATAACAGATGCATAAATGATTATGCATTTATAAAGATTTTATTGAAGGAATGAATAGAAATGGCAAAATAGAACTATAAATGTTAGTGTTCGCGCCAAACGCTAATTTCAAGAATTGAAGCCAGGGGACGCTCAGCGCGTTGATTTCCTACCGGTTTGACGTTCGCGCGAGCATAGTTGGTTTTGGCTGTGGCGCGTCGGAAGTTATCAATGCAGCGCAGTCTAGTGACTAGTGAACGGCGTGGTCGCGTCCCGTATAACCTCAATATAGTGTCGGTTTTTGTTAGCAAATTTATGCAACGACGAGGTGTTTTGTTGAGTCTAGAAAAATAGACGCCGGGTCGATTAATTGTTTTGGAAGTTAACTATGATTGCGATCAACGTCCGAATTTGAGTATTGTGCGCGCCTAATTACTATCGAAGATTTGGGTATCTAATACCGCCTCGAATGGAGTGTCGGTTTGAGCGTTACATGACACGAGGCCTAATTTGAGTTTTGAGTGATTAAAGTAACTGGTTACCAATATTTGTTGCGCGACGGACGGCTTGTATTGAGTTTGAATTATTAATTTAACTTGATTGACATTAATTTCATTCGACGATTTGCTTCGTGGCATTTTGATATCGTGCGAGTGAACCCGGAACATTGAATATTGAACTTTGAACGACGGTTCGTTACTTGTGTCGGCTGCTCCGTTGAACTGTGAAGTCGCGCGTAAAAACGGAAGTTATTAGAACCGCGTGTACTCGATTATAATCTGTTGCTGGGTGAAAATGGAAGTTGAACTTTGATCGCCGTTCGTTAGTTGTGCCGTGTGTCACGGGTTTGATTTCGATGAACGTTGAATTGGTTGACTTTGAAGTTAATTATATGTACGATAAGGTTGATGAACTGAAATAGTGAAGTGACGTCAGACTTGAGTTCAGATAAAGTGAACTATCACTGGAGGATCGCACATTTGAAGAAACGCAGCGCCTGCGGATCGGCGGTTCGACTTCCACGGTTAAATCAGGTTACACATGTCCACACTACTCCACACTACTCACATGCACATACTTAACGCCTGACCGCGCCTTGGGGTCGGTTCTCGATTCGGAACCAGGTACGTACTATTTATTTACCTAGCCTTATATCTATTGTGTAGAATAATTCTCCATAGGCATTTTGAGCCCCACCCTTAGTTGTCCGTCGAATCTACAGCTGTATGGGCCCCTGTATGGTCGACTTTTGTCGGGGCAACTAGGGGCGTGTACAGTTAGGTATAGTGTAAATGACTATTTTTAATTTTAAAAAAATCGATTAATACATACCCTAATACCATGTATATTTCGGATCGCAAATGCAATCTCACGGCGTAGCTCTTTCTCGTCAATCTCCATCTTTACAATTTCAAAAGGAAACCGCTCGTGGAACAGCCTGTTGATCTTAGCACCACCCGACAGTTCATTTGTGTTGATCTGTGCAGATCCAGATCCTTCTATGGTCTTCTCAAATTCTGTCTGAAGCTGCTGGATCATTCTGTAATCATAGAAGAAGTATATTTAATTATCTCTCAGTATTAAATTGTGTTAGTATTATAATAACTCTTTATAATTCTAATCTTTAAAAAGGTAATACATTCGCTTTAAAATTCTACCTGCACTTTTAAATGAGCTGGTACACAATAAATATGGTTTACTATAACCTAGAGACAAGTAACAAGTAAATAAAATTACAGTCTTCAAAAACAAACTAAAACAGTATGTAATCAACAATGTTAAATTAATTTATTAGCCAAAGTTTAGTGTATAGCGTAGCAATATTATTAACTACAACCCACATTGTTTTTTTTTTTGTTGGTAGTTAATTTACAATAACATTTTATGCATTTTCTTTTAAGAAATAAAGTGTCTTCAATGACTAAGCTATTATATATTTTTATAGCCATTAAGCCATTAAATATATCTCACTATTTTTCATTATTTCATTGTTTATTAACAAAACTTGTCAAAGCAGAAAATCTGCACTTTTTGTACTAACGAAAACACCAGAAAACTTAAAGTGTTGTCAAAGAGATGGTGTGATCATATATTTGGTTGTGTAAGGTTTATGACTGCCTAAAGAGGGCGATCGTAATTTCTACATATTGTTCTGTTGCATGCCTAAAAAAGAAAGCATAGTTGTACAAACATATTGAGTAAAGTTAAGTAAAATTCTGTATATACTTTTAAATATTCTTTTACTGCCCAGAGTATGGACAAATCTTTCAATTTATGTGTTAATAGGTGCATTCAAATAAACGCGTATATCCATCAGTAAATTCTAAAGACTGAATAAATAAGAAGAAGAATTATATTAATATATTATTAATTAACAGTAAAATAATACTGTCCTCCAGACCTAGTTTCGCTCACTGCGGCCCAGTCTCAACGGAGACTAGCCATCTATGCAGGACAGGATTATAGTGTCCGAGTGTATCTCTATATTCCCTCACTTTCATAGTCGAATGGGACGGAAACCCGATACGACCGGAAGGAGTTTAGGCGCAGGACAACGATTTTAGTTACTTTTAAAGGCACGGAAGTGAAACATTGTTAACTTCCTGACTTAGTGCTGCTAATATATCCTACCACCAAGATTAATTAACTTTACTGTATGGTATACTTACTGCAGCATGGCCTTGGTCTTGATTGAGGGGTCGTCAGGGCGGAAGTGCTTGTACTGCTCGACATCTTTCTCGAGCGCGAGCAGCTGCTTCTGGAGCTTGTCGCGCAGGCCGGGCAGCGTGTCGCGGATGTGGTTGGTGAGCTGCTGGTTGAGCACGCGCTGCAGGTACGGCGTGCCCAGCCGGTCCGCCAGGTGCCGGTACGACGGGTGACTGCCGAATGCCCACTCGTAGTAAATGGCTACATATATGTGATGATCATTTTTTTTTCATTTATAATGTCACATGTGTACAAAGCTTACAGGCACTGTCAACGTAAAATAGCAACTTAATGTTGTTGTGATACGTATGGAGAGTGTAAAGAAGCGGAGACCCTTTTTTACTGGAAACAAGGCATTAACATTCTTAATCGAAGATAGCTACAATTTCACGCTGGTATTCTGTAAGAGCGTGGTACTTCCCCAGTCGAGGCGCCCCATTCATGCTACAACCATCAATTAGCTGCAGCGTAGCTCTAGCACGTATAAAACGTAACAGTACTTTAAAGTACGGTTTTTCATACGATTCTCTAATTATTGTAAACCAAATATTTTACTGAAATTAACTTTATTATTATTAACTTAGGGGTGACTATAGTATTTTTGGTTGGGCTTAATTAATATACAAAACATTATTGTTATCATTATCCTCGCCAAATAAGTTCAAAAAGAATAGCTTTTTACTGTAAGTCCTTTTAGAGGGATACCTTAAGAAGAATTTCCTCTCAGCAGCAAGAGCAGCCGAGATATCCTTTCGGCCGTCGATGTCCTTCTGTGAGCGGTTGACGACACCGATGTAACCGCGACGTAGCGGTAGCAACTTGTTCTCGAGCACATCCCGAGCGTCCGTACCTTCATCCATCAAGTCCAGCTTGGTGATAACACCGATAGTTCGAAGACCTGCATGTTAAAAATCAATTGCAGGATTATTGACGTCTTTAGAAACTTTTCATTAGATAATATAACTCAATTTATTACTTTTAAAATATCAATGACACGCGATAAACGACCCAATAATGTGGGTATCCACGACTAATTTGGCAACCAAGGCGGCACCACTTTGGAATAAGGTGTCAAATATTTGACAGATTTCATAGCTGGGAAGTTAGTTAGGAGAATGTAAGGATTAATGTTTCTTTCTGTAATATTAGTTATATTATATTTTGTAATAATTAGATAATTAGATTAGAGATGAGTAAACCAACCGACGGATATTCCTAAAACTAGAAAAAAATATATAAATATACAAAATAAATAAAGAGCAAACCACTGAGGCTTTGTCTTGTATATAATACTCTAATAACTGATATTTATTTAAAACTAACTTCTCAATTAAATGATATTGTGTAACAAAAACTTTACCTCAGTCCCAACTAGCGACATCTGGTGAGCGGAAAGTTATGTACTGAACGACCGAAGATTCGGTTTCGGTTTCGGCAAATTTCGGCAAAAAATCTAGTTTCGGTTTCGGCAAAAAATCTACCGAACCTTCAATGGCGCCGAAACTCAGTGTTCGTGGATTATCATGCGTCGTTCGGATGAGTTCGTGACTCGTGTATTATTCATAATTATACAAAAACAGAAACTTTTTTATTCAATATTGATTGTAAATAATACTTATTGAAAGTCACTCTTTTGTTTAATTACCAATGGTTCAAAAAAAACCTATGTCTTTGGAAGAACCCGCAAGAAATCCAGCGGGACTTTTTTTTAAATAACAGCTTACAAACAGCGGCGTGCGTGGACTAATATAACGCGGACGAAGTTGCATCAGCGAGGCTCCTTTTCTTTCGTTCCAAGAATCTACCCAATAGATCTATCCTACCAAACATGCTTTGACACGACATACGAGGGCTACACTGAAAGTTTTTAGAACTGGCCACTTTTAAACGATATAATAAAAAAATAAGTTCAAATTTTGAAAATGGAACTCTTGTATTTTATTAATTTGTGATTTGTTTATGATTTGGCGGCAAATTGAAAGTTGTCTGTGTCACGTCAGCATGAATTTTTCGTCACGAGAAAATTTTCGTACAATGAGTTTTTATGACTTTCTATGTTATTTAGAAAGTTATGATGACTTCGATTGACTTTCACGATGAAGACCCATCTTGTGCCACTGTTTACAACTGGTTTAATGAGTTTAAATGTGGTCGTACTAATCTTACCGATAAACTGCGTAAGGGACGGCCTTCTACGGCGACGACTGAAGATAACATCAGTGTTGTGCGGCGTATGATAGAGACTGACAAAAGAGTGACTTTCAGCAGATTCGAACAAGCTTAGACATCGTGCATAAAATCCTCCATGAACATTTAGCGGTCAGGAAGCTTTGTGCCCGGCGGATACCTCATAATTTGTCAAAGGTCCAAAAACACCGTCGTGTTGATTGGTGTCGTGAAATGGTTAAAAGGTTTAACGGAGGTGACTCAAATGCTGTGTTCAACATACGGGTGACCAAAGTTGAATTTATTGTTATGATCCTGAAACTAAGAGACAGTCTGCTGTTTGGGTGTTTCCTTCCGAGGAGTTGCGAACTAAAGTGAAAAGAGGTCGAAGCGTGGGCAAAAAGAAGGTGGCCTCGTTCTTCGGAAGGACAGATCATTACGCAACAATTGTTTTAAAGGATCGAAAAGCAGTTACTGCAGAGTGGTATACTAACAATTGTTTGCCACTTTGTTTTGGAAAAAGTTCGGGAGAAACGACCTCACAGTAGGATCCTCCTTTACCACGACAACGCCTCGTCGCACACCGCCAAGCATACAATCAACTACTTGGCGACGTCAGACGTGGAATTACTGGGTCACCCGCCCTATAGCCCCGACCTCGCACTTTGCGATTTTTATTTATTTTCGAAAATAAAAGAAAAACTTAGAGGAAAACGTTTTATGGATGCCGAGGAAGCAGTGGCTGCGATTCAAAATGCCGTCAAAGAGACCCCCAAGGACGAGTGGGCAAAGTGCTTTTCTCAGTGGTTCCATCGGATGCAGAGATGTATTGATGTAAACGGACACTATTTTGAAAAGAAATAATAAAACTAATAACTTGCTAGTTTGTTCAGGTTTTGATTAAGGTCCCGAATAAGTAAGGAAAAACATGGTAAAGATTTAATGGAAGATAACAAATTAAAATCGCCACTTAAGAAAAAAGTTAGAAGATCGATAGTTACACATATCGACAATTTTGATAACGACGCCATTAGAAACCCTGTCTATGGCTACTATAGTAGGAACGAATTACCGACTCTCGATAAATTGTCAAATACTTTACGAGAATCTGGACTGTTTCACGGCAGTCGAACTTCTTTCTGGAGGGTTTTAAAAATGTTGGCTTTTCTTATAAAAAATGTGATAAAAGGCGAATTTTGATGGAACGTAGAGATATAGCTTTAGCCAGATTTAATTTTCTAAGATCAGCAAAGTCCATTGCCGTTTGGAATAATGTTATATTTCTAGATGAAACGTGGCTAAACGCTAATCATACAGTTGGCAAGATATGGACAGACGACACTCCTCACTCCTCCACAAAAGTACCTAGTGGCTAAGGTGAACGCTTAATTATTTGTCATGCGGGTTCCATGAAGGGATTTGTTCCGAACTGCCTCTTGGTGTTTAAATCTAAGAAAACTGTGGAATACCACGAAGAGATGAATTTTGTTAAATTTAAGGAATGGTTTTGTACCTTATTGACCAACTTGAATGAGCCATCGACGATCATTATGGATAATGCACCGTATCATTCAGTACAAATAAGTAAGCCTCCAACTTCTAGCAGCAAAAAAGCCGATATTGTGAAATGGCTGAATGACGATAATATTGTTGCTGACATGTCCATGTTAAAAGTAGAGCTGCTGCATTTGGTTGCTATAAATAAGCCAGCTAGACCAAAATACGTATTGGACGAAATGGCTAAGGAAGCCGGACACAATGTAATGCGCCTTCCACCCTACCATTGTCAATACAATGCCATAGAATTGATTTAGGCGCAAATTAAAGGCAAGAATTTAAACAAATCTTTTTTATAATTTATTTTTACCTATTTTAACATTTTATCTGTTGCTATATTAACATGCAAACCTTTATTTTAGGTTATGCGGCTCGTAAAAATACCAGCCCACCGTTTACTGCAAACAAAATGCTGTCATTGTTGCAAGAAGCTTGTGAACTATCACAAATTCGCGGCAGTAACACTAGTTACTGCCGCGAATTGGAAAAGTGTGGTTTTACAAACAAAAAAATTGATTTTCGCTGACTGGGACAGAGACATACATATCGATGCCGTCATAGATAACCAAATTATAATAAATACAGGGGATTCTACAGACGATGATGAGGGTGATGACGACGATGCCGACCATGAAATATCGATTTCGGCTAGTGATGATGAATCTATTCCATCTTGATAAAAATATCATGTAATATTATCTAATTAAAATTAAAAAACAATTTCATAAATTTTAATTTGATGCTAATCCTTTTTCTGTCAATACGATTTTAATTTGTTCGTTATAGTAATCGAAGATCAATATCGTCAAGTATCGACTATAGCGGTACTTTACTAGTACTTGATTATTGACATCTGTCAAATGGGACTTCGTAATTGGAATAGAGTATAGCTACGCCTCTTTTATAATCATGTATGTAACACAATTAACAAATTAGAAATAGCTTGGTAGTGATCACGTCATTCCCAGGGGTTACTATCATCACAAATTCCTTAATATAATAATAACTAATAAACTTTTTATACAAACTTAGTTTATTAGTGTTGTTGGACTTTGAGCAGGTTTTGTATGTTTTCTGGGATTTTGTTGTGTATATTGTGTGTGTGTGTGTGTGTATGTGATTGTGATATATTAAGTTAATGCTCTCATTGAATAATATTAACAATATTGTGAACACAGTAAAATATGTTCTCAAATAGCGAGTAACTTTTTATGTGTGTAAGTGTTGATTCTTCGACAAAATTGACTTATTACGTATTTCTTAACTACATCTACATCACTATTACAATAACTGTTTTTCATTAACATGCATTACATATCTGTATATGTATAAAAATATACCAGATTTCAGTATACAATTAAAAAAATAACATGTCTAAATAATTCGGTTCAATAGGTCGGTTCGGTTTCGGTTTCGGCCGAAACTGACACCCGGATCGAAGGTTCGTTTTCGGTTTCGGTTGAAAATCCTGTTTCGGTCGGACACAAGTTATTAGCCCTCATTGGCGATGATATTATATTATATAATTTAATTAAGGGGCTACTCCATGCGAACGACCTTGAGCATTTGGTGTGCCGCGCCGACTCGCTACAATATAATATCGCGTAAGAAATATGTAAGGCGCCACCTACTGTAAGAACGTAGTATTTTTTCAACATCAATAAACTATTTTATGGAAATACACACAGCGTACAACGATAAATGTATCTCAAATTTTTTATTCGGTATATTAGTTGCATTATATTAGAATTATGTATTCTCATATATTATCTAATTATGAAATTTTATAATTAATTATATATTAAAAATGAAGCATTGAAAATTGTGAGTTTAAAAGATACCTACTCACTATAGGTAAATAGATAGATAGCTCGCCTTTTGTACAAATATTTGGTGCAATAAAGAATAAATAAATAAATAGGATGTTTCGCAGAGTGAGAGTAATATAGAATGAGAGTCGTGGAGGCAGTTTACAAACATAAATTGCACAAGGACAAACATCCAGACCCGGAACAATTATTTGTAGGCGATACAAATACTTGTTCCGTGCGGGATTCGAACCCGCGGCCCCCAGTGCAGCAACTGATTGCTAAGCCAGTGCGCCACGGAGCCGTCGCCGGTTTATAGCTAAAGTGACCATACGTCCCGTTTTGAACGGGACTGTCCCTTTTCTCAGTCACCTGTCCCATTGTCCCCAAACAAAGCTCCGGGACACAAAATTGTCCCGTAACTCGTTGGATGGAAGTATTCAAAGTCAACAATCTTCAACATAATTTTTTTTAATCGAATATATTTTATGTCTCCCTGGTACAAATGCTCCAGTAGAAAGAATTTTTTTTTTATTTTGAACAAATTGTGGACGTCTGAAAGAAACACTTACGGTTCCAGTTCTAAAGGCGATGTTGTTAACAAAGGTAACAATAAAAAAACTTAAGCAGAATTTTATTCTTATTTAAAATTATCACCAACTTTATTAAAGCAAATTTAATCCACTGACAAATGTAATTAATAATTAAAAAAAATATGTTGCATTTAATAATTACCGTCTATACCGAATATAATTTTATATTGAACACTAATTGTGTGAAGTTATAATTTTTAGAGTGTAAATAAACCCATGTCCTGTTTTGAGTTAAAAAATAAATGGTCACTTTAGTTTTTTTTAGTTAAATTTAGTTTAAAAAAACTTTATTTATAGTAAAAAGTAGGTATATTAATACCTACTTAGATACTTTTTACCGAATTAGGGTAGAAGCCCCTAATACCAGTCATGCCCCTAATTGCAGTCTTTTCGCCTTTTTACTCCATAAATAAGATTTCTAGTAGTCTTAACTACAAATATTTTCATTTAAAAGATTCTTTGTACCTAGAGGAAACTATATTTATTCAAATATTACCTCGCAGTTTTAAACCTAACAGTGTTAAAATCAAAACAGGTACGCAACGAAAAACGATTATTTTCCTAATTATTTGACAAGTTATGATCCCGGTAAAATTATGCTTACTTTACATTATCTCATATATAGGCTTTTTGATTTGTATGAATATGACTATAGACATAGTAATGCAGTTATTTTTGTTTCAATTTACAACTTATTTATTTTCTTTTAGTGGAAATTAATGGGACTGTAATTAGATAATATAAGAAATGTATGGAGTGCATAATGTCAGCCGCCCGGCTGTTATTTGGTTTGACGTACCTAATAAGATGTACCTAATTTCAGCCACGTAATATAAATCAGAGCTGCCATAAACTGGAATAAATACCATTAATTAGATCATAACTTATTTTATAGATAAGGGAGTTATGATCAATTCGTCTGTTTTAAAATTGGTTTTAGATTTTAAAGTTTAGCAAAAGATGTACTAGCTTTTCTCTCTGACATTCGGCGTATAGAACATCTTATGTACTCAATTATTTATTTTTTTGAAAAAGAAGAAAAAACAAGCAATAAATAAAAACAAAAGCGGGCCAAAAACTCATAACTGACTTTTTGACAAGACCCGGGATTCGAAACCGAGACCTCATGATCAGCACTCGCACTACTCCAACCACTAGACCAACGAGGCGGTACTATACCTAATAAGATATTGTGGTTGGGTGATAATATTGAATTAGCCTTTTATAGTGTAAATTATAATATTTGTCGAAATTTTAATTATGGATTGGAACCTTACATGCTAATGGTGCTTCATTTTTTTATTTGCATTTACTTCAAAGAAAATACACGCAAAAAGCTTAAATTATACCCAAAACAAACAAATAATACTACCTATAAATAACCTAATAAGTAATATTATTATCGACTAATATGACGTGAGTGTATGTGCTGGTCGACGCTCTAACGACACAGGCTTCGCGTCGAAGAGCTCAGGGCTCACTGACTTCAGCAAGCCCGTGAGCAGTGAATATGCCCAAATTTTAAAATAAATTCTTAATAAAATCAAATTTTGGTCTTTTGAAAAAAAATTTACTATAGAAATGTTCATTAATAAATTGCCTATCCATTGGTGTAAATCGCAGAATAAAATAATACTTACTTTACGAGGAGATGCATGTTATCAATAATAATTTCACATTTATGTGGTTTCGTTGTAAGGAGATTATATTCATATTTATTCCTTTAAAAAAAATTGGATATAGCTTTTATGGAATCAAGATTATGTAGAAATATAATGTGTTTTTTATTTGTTGATATATCTTTTAAATAAAAAGTAGATAGCTCCTAAAAACAGCACAAATAACGACTAGCGCGACATTTTGCTCAACCTGCGCCTTAATACCAGCAACTTTCGTCGAAGCAGTGTCGGAGACGCAGATTCGATTTCATAATCCAATTTTTTTTTATTATATTGTATGTATTAAGATATAGTCGCATGTAACTAATAAGAGTGTTTTAATTCTCATCACACGTCATTTATTTTATCAATATAGTTAAAACCTAACCTTAGAATTACAAATTAACATCATACATTCAATACACGAAAATACAAATTTCATTGTGGGCGCAAACAATTAATAAATTCACAATAATCTAACCTTGCGGATCCACCTCTTTGGCAAGCTTCAAGGCGTCACTATTAGCGAGGTCGGTGTTTGCCGGCGTGACGGCGAGGATGAGGCAGGACTCACGGCGTATGAACTGGAATATCATAGCTTTGATCTGCTGTTCGATGTCAGCGGGCTGATCGCCGATTGGCACCTTCGTAAGACCCGGCAAATCGATGAGAGTCAGATTGAGCACTGGAAATTAAGTAGTTTTATTTTTTTAAACTGTCTGCTATATAAATATATTTTGTTGCTATCTACTATTTATTACATTAATGTTTAAGCGCACTAAACAAAGTCACATGAAATAGAATTAAATTTTGAACCAAGTGAATCAAGTGCAAAACAAAAACAAAGATATCTAAACATAAGATTTTTATCAAGTACATAATTTTGTTCCCATTAGGGTGCTGATTTTAGAGACTAAGATATTTACAATCACTAACAGCTGATTGTGTGCTGTCACTACGGATTTTTTTTTTTAATTTACTATAACTAATGAGATATTATTAAATAGATAGATTGTGTGATGAGTGATGAGTTTGAGTTTGAACTCGAAATAGTCTATACTATTTACGTACGTCTAATAATACCGGTCTTTGACACACTAAGTAAAATATAGGTTTTAATGCACTATGATAAATCTTAGAATGGATGCAGGTGCCTTAGGGTCGTGTTTTGGAACTGTGGTGATGATTTGCGTCTCTAATATAATAAAAAATGTGGAGGGATAGTTAAAATTAGAACACACGCAATAATCTCACAACCATCATTCAGACTGTAGGAAAATTTTTGTTTCAGGGAGAACGAAGGATCTGTAAAGGTAAAACAAAACACCTAGCCGCTGAGCTCCACAACGTTAAACAAGTTTTACGCAAAAATAAGTATTCATTTAACATTCGATACGTCATTGACGAATTTTGCCAAACCGCCACAAAAAAGAAGAAGAGCTTAAGCTTCGAGTCCCGCGCATCCGTCACAATGACCGAGTGAAACCGACCACAGTCGAGCGTGTTGTAAGAGCCTGCTTGTTCTGCCATATGTCAGAGGTGTCACAGGAAAGATTGGCTACATCTTGAAGCTCATTGAAACTCATTTAAAATTTGTACAAACAAAATTATTGTAGTGAAATATGTTTAAAAAAAAAAGTCCCGCTGGGTTTCTTGCTGGTTCTTCCCAGGACAGAGGTATTTTCCGAACCAGTGGTTAATAAAAAATTACTTTCAATAAGGATTATGTAATAATCCATATTAAATAAAAATTATTCTATTCTATTCTAAGCAATTCTATACAAATCAAATTCAACAATGATCCTCTTAGCACGTCTTTTCACTGAGTCCAACGCTGCCAGGTGGCATTTTGCAGCACAAGCCCATAAGTGACAGCAGTATTCCATGCACGACCGGACTTGCGCTTTATATAAGGTAAGAAGCAGCCCCGGCGTGAAGTACCCTTGCAAGGACACCAAGTTTCCTTGCGGATGCTTTGGCTCTGGACTCAATGAACCGCTCATAGTTGAGGTTCGGAGACGATTCAACCCCTAACAACTGAAGGCGGTCAGTGTACTCCAACGATACATTCCGGAAAGTAGGAGCCAGAATGAGTGAGCTCCTTTTAGCGGTGAAAAGAGAAGCATGTGTTTTGAGGGCGAGATTCAAATCTCTCTCACGAGATTGGCATCGCCCAATTCGGAGACTGCCTGTAGTGTGGGATTCACACGCTCAACCATAGCCTCTCGTTCGGACTGGATTTGATCCCGACTGGCCCGAGCACTTAGTTGGTATCTCTCCACAATTGCATTGTCGTCTACATACCCATAGATACCGGGAATAAGCAGATCATTTATATGCAGCAGGAAGAGAGTTGCGGAGAGAACGGACCCCTCAGGTACTTCGGTGTTGGTCGTGATAGGACAGGACAAGCAGCCATCGATGACAACTAGGGGAAACCGTTCAATCAGAAAGTCTTTCACCCAGTCAATCAGGCCAGAGGATAAGCCGTACGCTGTAAGATTTCCCACTATACTAGCATGCCAAACCCTGTCAAAAGCCTTCAAAACATCGAGGGAAACAGCAAGTGCTTCTCCTCTGTTCTCGAACGCTTCGTCCCATATTATTTGAGTTGCATACGCTAGAAGGCCCCCAGTTCATCGATTTCGGAGAATCCCGTACTGGCAGTCACTGAGATCATTCTGCTCTAGGTATGCCATGAGGTGGGCGTTCAATATAAACTCCATAATCTTGCAGAGTATTGAGGTAATTGAAATTGGCCGATAGTTGGCAGGGTCGGTACCGCTACCTTTTTTAGGCACAGGTTGCACATTGGACATCTTCCAAGATTTGGGCACTATTCCAGTTCTGAATGAGAGGCGGAACAAGCGTGTCAACACAGGAGACAACTCAGGTGCACAGACCTTTAGAACTACAGCTGGTATACCATCAGGTCCACTAACTAGCTTTGTTCACTTCTAGACTTCGCAAGGTGTTAAGAACCTCCTTGTTGGTGATACGGACCTATGACATAGAGGTACCGCAGTGAGGTAATTGAGATGGTACGCTATTGCTACAGTTCCGACGCGAATTGCAAGCTAAAAGAGAAGCAAATAAGTTCGCTTTCTCCTTAGGTGCATGCGCCAGTGAGCTATCTGGTTTTACCAGCGGAGGCAGTGTAAACCGACAGAAGTTTGAAGACCGCTTTGGCGAGAGACCAAAAAGCTCTACTGTCAGATGGTTTAACGGAGAGCTTTGTACCGATGCGTTTAATGCGGTCGAAACAGGCTTGCCGTAATGCCTTTTTGCAGAACTTAGCGGCTTGGTTAAAGGCTAACATCCGGAGCTTTACGGTCTTGAGCATCGACCCAGGATAAGTACGCCATATGCTTGTGCTTTTCAGCACGAGCGCACTCAGCGTTGAACCATGAGCGAGCTTTACCACCAATGGGCACGTCAGCAAAGGGGATTAAATACTCGCTTGACGTATCAGATCGGTTATGCCATCAGCGCAGCTCGACGGATCTTCAGACGAGAAGCAGATCTGCCACCAAGGATATAATGCAAAGAAATGCTACATCTCATCCCAATCTGCTGACTTGTATCGCCACATTCGCCTTACACCGTGGAAATCGTAGTTAGGTGGGGAATATAATGACACAGATTTCACCAGACAGTGGTCAGAAGTTTCCAAGGGTGAGGTAACCTGAACATCGTACCTGTCTGGATCGGTCGTCAGCAGAAGGTCGAGGCAGTTGGCTGTGTGCCTATTCACATCAAGTCCCATAGTCGCTTGTTGTACCAGCTGAGAGAGCGCCAGCGACAAAGCAAAATTCCACACCTTTCTCCAACGTGGTCGGTCTTCTGGTATGGGAATAGCCAGTCCTGATGACAGACATTAAAGTCCTCCAGAAAAACCAACTGTGCATTAGGGTACCGATTTAGAGCCACATCAGAGGCTTCACTGAGGTGTTTAAATAGCCTAGTTGTCTCCTGGTCACCGCTGTGCGATCGATAGACGCAAGAATAAATAATTTTATCTATTCCTGTGTCTATCAATACTCACATGGTAGACAATGTGGGGTCATCAAGGTGACGGAGACGCTTACAGTAGATGTCGTTGCGAACGTAAACACAGACTCCGGCGCGCTGATTGAAATTATGTTCCAATGTGTAGTGTGTACCCAGGGTAGCCAAGGTACGCCGCATCTAGAGGACATCTGATCTGCGTCTCAGTCAAGAAGAGTGCGGCTTGTCAGTCCAAAGGTGGTAGTGGACTGCATTGAGATTACAGTGCAGGCCTCGGCATGTTTGTGAGGTGCACTTTGGATCATTTTTACGTCGAACACCTCTGTCACTTTTGACCATGCGTCGAGCAAAGTGCTCTAAACGTAGGGAATACAAAACAAGTTAATAAAAATCCGTAAAAAAAAAATAACTTTCATTAAATAAATTATAACTGACTGGTGTCTCATGCAAAAGAAAACTTTTCGCAAAATTATCTGCGTAGCCGTAATAGCTGCATGGTTCTACCTCGTAAAACTATTGTGTTTACAACTCTAGCTAGATATAAAGCCAGGGACCGAAAAGCTAAGTAAGATCTTTATCGCAACTGATTTTTTATTATATCATACAGAGCAATTCCTTAAAATATTACAAGGGCTCGAACACATGAACCGACACACGAATGGAAGTAATTCAATTGATTTAGACAATTAAACAAGTCTGGCCAATTTAAACTGCCCTGTTTTGGAGTGATATTTATAACACAAGGACATATTATTCAAAAAAGGACTAAAAGAAATATGAAGGTAATATAATTGAAACTTTGCCGATGTGGATATTTTATGAGTATCGATATTTTAGTAAATAATTTAATTGTAAAAATAATAAAAAAGACAAAAACAAAAATTAATAATTGTTACAACCAAGCAAATAAAATCTTTGATGAGGAAAGAGTCAATTGTGAAGTATTACTGTCAATTTCAACATTATAAAAAAATTTAAATGGTATATTTATATAAAATAAGGACGTAATTTGATGATTCATAACTCTCGGTATCGGAGGAAAGATTTATCAAAAGTATATACAAGGAACATAAGTGGATAATTCAACGGGAAAGGCGGAAATATATCATTGTAAAAATCGCAAAAGTAATTACAGATCCGGATCGTTGGTATTTGTTACTATATTTATAGCAATGTACTATAAAAAACCTTAAATAAAAAATTGCGGATTTATTGTTGTTTTTTTTTTTTTAAATAATTGGATGTTTATTCGGTGTTAACGTGAGAAAGCATTACTTTTAGTCAGTTTTAATAACAAACAAAGTGTAGGAAACATAAAACAGCTGTGTTTTTTCTTTTCCTAGTTAGCAACTTGACCCTGTTTTTATAAGAATACTTAGAAATTGTTATTCAAAAACTACAGTTTTAAGTATAAAAGTGTAGTATTGAGCCCTTTGAAGACTATACTACCAAGGTATATGAGTTCAAACTGTGTACACAAACGTTGTCATGTTAAAAAACATTAGAGAATTGACAACAATAAAGACGAGGCTATTTTGATCTTCCAGAAGCATATTTTCACACGACACGTGCGAACAAAAAAGATAATTGTGAGTTGATAAGATACGGCGGATTTAATGCCATCACTTTTAACGACGTGGAGCATCGTTAAGTATCTCCAAACTACATGTACCTACA